CGCCCTTGCCCCGCTGGAACGTCTCCTTCGTGTCCAGGTCGACGACCTCGGCGCAGGCGTCGGCGAGCGCGGCGACGTGGGCCGACAGGTCCGGCGGCGCCGCCAGGTCCGCGCGCGCGCCGAGGCCTGCGTGGATTCCAACCGCTGGTTCGGGGGGTCCCCGCCAAACTTCAGAACTCTCGAGCTCCGTCAAATCGACGTCGATTCGGCTGTTTTTGGGACGAATCGATCGCTCTCGTCGAGTTCTCGAAGCACGGCAGAAAGCCTCGCGTCGAAACCGTTCGATTACGCGCACATTGAAGTCGGGTTGAAGATTTGATTTCCACGCAGGCCCAGACACGCGGTGTAGTCCTGGAAGACGATCGTCGCGGACATGAGCAGCTTGAAGTGGGCCTCGAAGTCGGCGCCGGCGTCGACCCAGGCGAAGAAGATCTCCGGGGCCACGAGACGGAGGAGCGCCTCCAGCGCGCCGCAGCGCTCGAGGCGCGCCCAGCTCTCGCGGTCCGACCGCCGTTCGCCGGACGTCGCGACGGTCACCTCGTCCACGAGACGCTGCGCCTGCGCGTTGAGCTCCTTCGTGTAGGGCGCCGCGCCGGGCTTCTCGCCGCACCGTTCGCTGACGACGAGCACGAGCGCGTGGAGGCCCGGGCGCGCGCGCGCGTCGGCCGTCGCGCGGGCCGCGCACGCCGCGAGGTGGCCCCCCGGGTCCGCGGCGCAGACCAGGGCGCCGCCGTCGTCGACGGCCGCCAGACCCCGCCGGAGCAGCGCCCCGGCGACGGCGACGGCGGCGGCCGCGTCGTCGTCGTCGTCGCAGAGCTCCGCGAGCGCGTCGACGGCCAGCGCGCGCAGCGTCGCGTCCTTCTCGCGCGCGACCGTGTCCACGAGCGTCGCCGTCACGCCCAGCGTCGCGAAGGCGCCGCGCGCCGCGCGCTTCGACCCGTCGGGCGAGCTCGGCGGCTCCGCGGCGAGCGAGAAGAGCGCCTCGAGCGCGAGGCGCCGCGCGGGCGCGAGCGGCCCCGCGGCCGGCGCCTTCAGGCCCAGGCGGAGCACCCAGAGCACGTCGTCGAAGCCCTCCAGCGCCGGCCGCTTCGCCTTGCTGTAGAAGAGGTGGTGCAGCAGCCACACGAGGTCCACGAAGACCTGTGTGGAAATCAACCACTGGTTTGGGGGGTCCTGACCAAACTTCAGAACTCTCTAGCTCGGTCAAACCGAAGTCGATTCGGCTGATTTTTGGACGAATCGATTGCTCTCATCGAGTCCTCGAAGCTCAGCCGAAGATTCCGGCGCAATCCGTTCAATTACGCGCACATTGAAGTCGGGTTGAAGATTTGCTTTCGACACAGACGAAGACGCCGCTCCGGAAGTCGCGGTGCACGACGAG